TGTGTGTGTGTGTGTGTGTGTGGCCCACCTCTACCCACATGCCACACCCACCCACCCACCCATCTCTAGCCCCCTACCCCTATTGTAGGGGTGGACGGCACAAGGTAACCAGTGTTTTAGGTGTAGCCCAGAAAGACCGGACACCTAGCCCACTACACTGGCTAAATCGTTAAACTATTACTAGTACTATCACTACTACCACCACTACTACCACTACCACCACTACCACCACCACACACTTGGCAACTGTTCCGAGACACAAAAACTCCTTTACTTTAACAGGAAGAATGTGAGATAATGAACTCTCCCTCACTCTCTCACTCTCCTCTCACTCTTTCACTCTCTCACAGCATCAGTTAGGGAGAAAACTTAACATAAATCATTGAGAAATTAACAGTTAAATCAGTCACCCCTGTCATATGCCACAGTCAGTTACAGTCAGTTGGCACCGTGTATGACAACACACCATTGCCACCACCCCTAACGAGAGAGAGAGAGAGAGAGAGAGAGAGAGAGAGAGAGAGAGAGGGGCACACACACACACACTCTCTCCCACACACCTGAAGTAACGCCATCAATTTCAGGTGTGGAAGGTGTTAATAGGACATGTGTGTGACTGGTCCAATTAATGACCCCATATATCTGTTCAGTCATATATAATTAATGATATAGAGAGCCAGATATATAACTTATACGTACATACTGACGAACATACATAAATGTACATACAAACATACATAATGCTTCTCCTTACACAGACATACATACACACACATACAGACAGACATACACAGACAGACAGACAGTAGAGTGGTGATAGCAAGAAGCTGTGATAGTGCGGGGATAATGAGAGGCAGGCACCTGGGCATCATCAGCCTCCCGACACTTACCTGTTTTTATCACCTGTACATCACCTTAATTACGTGTGTGTGTGTGTGTGTGTGTGTGTGTGTAGGTATAAGTAATTGTGGTAGTTGTGGTTGTGGTAGATAATTACAGGTGTGTTTCATTAATTACCTTCACACACCTGTTATTGATGTTCTTACAGGTGCAATTATCTTACTCAAAGGGTTAAACTAACATCATTAAAGGGTTAAACCAGCATCATTAAAGGGTTAAACCAGCGTCATTAAAGGGTTAAACCAGCATCATTAAAGGGTTAAACTCAGTAGTGAAACCAAGTCGTAGTTGACTCACCTGCTTGATGATCGTATTCCCGATGTACCTCTTAGTGAGGAACCGAACGATGAGAGCTGAGGAGAGATGAGAGGAGAGAGAGAGATGAGAGAGATGAGAGAGATTACTGTGTGTCTGTGTGTGTGTGTGTGTGTGTGTGGCCACACACACACACAACGTAGGTTAAGTTCGGTTGATCTTAGATTAAATTAGTTTAGATTAAGAATGTACTCACAGGAGCCACTAGTACTCTTAACCCAACTACTAGTACTCTTAATAGTACTCAGGGAGCCACTAGTACTTTTAACCCAACTACTAGTACTCTTAATAGTACTCACAATAGCCACTAGTACTCTTAATAGTATCCCAATAGCCACAGTACTCCTAATAGTACCCAAATAGCCACTTAGTACTTTTAACCCAACTACTAGTACTTATAATAGTACTCACAGGAGCCACTAGTACTTTTAACCCAACTACTAGTACTTTAATAGTACCACAATAGCCACTAGTACTCTTAATAGTATTCCACAATAGCCACTAGTACTCCTAATAGTACCCACAATAGCTACTAGTACTCTTAATAGTACCCACAATAGCCACTAGTACACCCAATAGTACTTACCACTCTTGCCAACGCCCGGGCCTTAGTACGGCTATTTTCACCTCAGAAAGAGATGATTTTTCCTCCTGATTCTCTAATAGCGTTACTTGTCATCACCTGTGGAAGGAAAGTACCGGCGCTTAGTGTTTGGGAAAGTATCTAGTAAGGGTTTGTGAAAGTGTCTAGTAAGGGTTAGTGTTTGGGGAAGTATCTAGTAAGGGCTAGTGTTTGAGTACCTAGTAAGGGCTAGTGTTTGGGGAAAGTACCTATAGTGGCGTAGTGTTTGGGGAAAGCTAGAGAAATAAATTAGTGGCACTATCTAGGAGGAAAGTACACGTGTACCTGTAATTGTTCTACCATAATTATAAGTATATAATTATATACCTCACCTAATATCTCATTAATAACTCAGTGAGCTACAGGAGGCCTCACACTACAGGAGGCCCTCACACTACAGGAGGCCTCACACTCAGGAGGCCCTCACACTACAGAAGGCCCCACACTACAGGAGGCCTCACACTACAGGAGGCCCTCACACCAGGAAGGCCCTCACACTACAGGAGCCTCACACACAGGAGGCCCTCACACTACAGAAGGCCTCACACTACAGAGTCCCTCACACTACAGAAGGCCCTCACACTTCAGGAGGCCCTCACACCACAGAAGGCCTCACACTACAGGAGGGCCTCACACTACAGAAGGCCCTCACACTACAGGGAGGCCCCTCACTACAGAAGTTCACACTACAGGAGGCCTCACACTACAGGAGGCCCTCACACTACAGAAGGCCTCACAAGTCTTTAATTGGTAATAAGGTGAGTGGTTAGGTGAAAAGCAGTCACTGTGTGTGTGTGTGTGTGTGTGTGTGTGTACCAAAGATGGACTCTAAAAGGTACTCATGTCATAATAATAATAATAATAATATATTTTAAATATAGAGACAGAGACTTACTCAATATATTTAAGGACAATATATAAACTGAACCAGTATATCGCTATTATTCACTAAATGTCCGTAATTATTTCCTTATCAGTTCCTTATTTATTTTCAATTCTTTATTCACTAATTTATTCACGTTAGAGGAGCCACGACACGTACGGTTGTCATAGTGAGGGTAGGAAATTATATTTTTGGTGGTTTGTACCAACATGGTGAATGAGGTGTTGGTGAGTGTGTTGTGAGGGTGTTGTGTGAGTGGTGTGAGTGTGTTGTGTGAGGGTGTTGTGTGAGTGTGTTGTGTGAGGTGTTGTGTGAGTGTGTTGTGTGAGGGTGTTGTGTGAGTGTGTTGTGGAGTGTGTTGTGTGAGGTGTGTGTGAGTGTGTTGTGTTTTCTAAGTGCCTGCCGTTAGTTTAAGTGCCTGGCGTAAGTGTGTTGTGTATTTTCTAAGTGCCTGGCGTTAGTTCATGCCTGGCGTAGTTCAAGTGCCTGGCGTTATCTTTGAGTGCCTGAAGTTGACAACAATAAGTGCTTGGCGTAAACTGAATGATTGGCGTAACATATCAATGCCTGGCGTTAAATGTCAAGTGCCTGGCGTAAGATTTAAGTACTGGCGTAAGCTTTCAAGGCCTGTCGTAAGCTTTCAAATGCCTGGCGCTTTCGCCTGGCGTAAGCTTTCAAATGCCTGCGTAAGCTTTCGGCCTGGCGTAATAAATCACAGTCTGGCGTAACTCTGTAAGTGCCTGGCGATGTTACAAGCCCATTACACAACCGGTGCCTGGCGTTCAGACTCGCTCTTGGCACTGTATAGAGCGAGCTAACAGTGCCAGCCGCCCGTGAGTCTGGCACCCTACTGACTGGGGAGAGAGCCAGGCACCTCACCTCACCTTGCCCGCCTCACCCTGCCTCACCTCACCTCCCCCACCTCACCTGACTCACCTTGCCTCACCTCCACCCCACCTTGCCCCACCTCACCTCACCTCACCTCACCCATGCCACACCTCACTCACCTCACCATGCCACACCTCACCCCACCTCACCTCACCTCACCTCACCTCGACTCACCTGCCTCACCTCACCTTGCCCCACCTCACCTCACCTCACCCGACCACCTTGCCTCACCTCACCTCACCACCTTGCCTCACCTCACCTCACCTCACCTCCACCATGCCACATCTCACCCCACTCACCATGCCACACCTCACCTCACTCACTCACCTCACCTCACACCTCACCCTTGCCTCACACCACTTTGCCTCACCTCGCCTCACCTCACCTCACCTCACCATGCCTCACCTCACCACCTCACCTCACCTCACCTCACAGTATGTACATACGCCAATATACATAAACGTAGAGATAATTACTTAATAAACACAATAAATATAACATAAAGATAAAAAAGGTGATAAATGGAGGAATAAATAAGGAAATAAATAATGATGGCGTCTCTATATGGCCTGTAGGGACACTTACCTAGTTTTAACCTATTATTACCTATTGATCGTATTTTTAGGCTATATTATATGATTTAGTGGTTTATTATACTACTATGGTTGATTATACGTTAAATAGTAGTATAGTTAGTTACCTGTGTGTTGGAGGTCTGGCTTTGAAACTTCCGCCTTAATGACGTCTCTTCACCGCCGCCATTTTGGTTTATAGTCAAATCAAAAGCTATACTGATATTTCCAAGTTTATTATAATTATATTTAATTTTGCTTAATATTAATGTTTATTATTATGATTAATATTTATAATCATTTTTTAACGGTTATGTGTAGTTTATATTTTAGGAGCAATTTGTATTAATATGTGTAGCTCATTTGTACCTGGAGTCGTGTTGAATCAAAACATTGAAATTATATTCATACAAATATTAATTTCTGGATATTTATTTACGATATATTATTTAAATAGTCTTAAAATTAATAAAAACTTAAATAGTAGTTAAGAAAGTATTTATGAAATTTATTATCGTGATTTAGAGAAAAAAATATTAATACCGTATATAAATAATACTAATTTTGACATAATAATCACTGTTTTATATATAATTATTCTTCAATAATTATAAATATTAAAATAAAATACCAAAAATACTTAAATCTTGGATAATCTGAGAAAAATAAATATTATACCAATATATAAAATACTAAAAATCCTTCATAAAAATCATCAAAATAATTACCATAATAATAAAATAATAATAAAACTCAATAACTCCAGAAACTCAATAAAAAATAGATAAAATTAGAGGCAAAATTTATACACACTATCTCTGGCGGCCATTTTATGAGGGAAGGTGAAGGTAAGAAACGTTATAACAAATATTCCATTTTATTGTGTAATTATCGCCTCCTGAGCTCCATAACTGAGGTAATATTGGTATAATAATATATAGAGTAATTCAGTGAGATATTAGACCATAAATATTAATGTTATTGTTTATATTAATGTTTGAAGGATAACGGCAGTAAAGTCAATGGGGTCGTCTTGTTTTACTCTCTATTTCCTTATTTATCGGGTATTTTAAGGTTATTTATGGTGATTATTGGCTTTTTTATGTCTATATAGCCGTCTGTAGTGGAGATCTTAGTTAGTTTGGTTGTTAATTATGTCATTAGTATCAGTAATGGGGCCGCCTTATTTAACCTCTCTAGTTCATTATTTATCAAGTATTTTAAGTTAATTTATCTCATTTTATCAATAATTCTCAGTATTTCATCAGTCTGTAGTGAAGAGATCTTAGTTAGTTTGGTGTTAATTATGTTAATAGTATCGTAATAGCCGCCTTATTTAACCCTCTAGTTCATTATTTATCAAGTATTTTAAGTTAATTTATCTCATTTTATCAATAATTCTCAATATTTCATCAGTCTGTAGTGAAGATCTAGTTAGTTTGGTGTTAATTATGTCATTAGTATCAGTAATGGGGCCGTCTTATTTAACCCTAGTTCATTATTTATCAAGTATTTTAAGTTAATTTATCTCATTTTATCAATAATTCTCAATATTTCATCAGTCTGTAGTGAAGATCTAGTTAGTTTGGTGTTAATTATGTTATTAGTATCAGTAAGGGGTCGCCTTATTTAACCCTCTAGTTCATTATTTATCAAGTATTTTAAGTTAATTTCTCATTTTATCAATAATTCTCAGTATTTCATCAGTCTGTAGTGAAGATCTTAGTTAGTTTGGTGTTAATTATGTCATTGGTATCAGTAATGGGGTGCCTTATTTAACCCTCTAGTTCATTATTTATCAAGTATTTTAAGTTAATTTCTCTCATTTTATCAATAATTCTCAATATTTCATCAGTCTGTAGTAGAGATCTTAGTTAGTTTGGTGTTAATTATGTTATTAGTATCAGTAATGGGGCCGCCTATTTAACCCTCTAGTTCATTATTTATCAAGTATTTTAAGTTAATTTATTTCATTTTATCAATAATTCTCACTATTTCATCAGTCTGTAGTGAAGATCTTAGTTAGTTTGGTGTTAATTATGTTAATAGTATCAGTAATGGGGCCCTTATTTAACCCTCTAGTTCATTATTTATCAAGTATTTTTAAGTTAATTTATCTCATTTTATCAATAATTCTCAATATTTCATCAGTCTGTAGTGAAGATCTTAGTTAGTTTGGTGTTAATTATGTTAATAGTATCAGTAATGGGGCCTCCTTATTTAACCCTCTAGTTCATTATTTATCGATATTTTAAGTTAATTTATCTCATTTTATCAATAATTCTGAGTCTATGAACAATAATTAGTGGATTAATTCATTTAGTTGTATATTAAATGTAAGAAATCATACCTGGTGTTATGGTGTTGATAGTTAACCATTTATTGGACTATTTTATGGTGATTAGACTGTTAATTATGGTGGTTTATTATTGTTATTTATATTATTTAATTATTTTATCAATTTATTCTTATTTAATTATTTCTTTATCAATTTATTCTTATTTAATTATTTATTTATTTTTTAAATTTAATATGCCTTTTAAAATCTCCTAAATGAGTAGGTTAGGTAGCTTGAGTTAGCATTAAGTTAGCAATGTTAATTTAGGTTAATTTAAGTTCAATTAGATAGTTTAAGTAGGTTAGGTTAGATTAGATTGGGTTTGGTTGTCAAGGTTGACTTAAGTTAGGTTAAATATCTTGAGTTAGTGTTAGGTTAAGTCAGCAAGGTTGACTTAAGTTAGGTTAAATATCTTGAGTTAGTGTTAGGTTAAGTCAGCAAGGTTGACTTAAGTTAGGTTAAATATCTTGAGTTCGTGTTAGGTTAAGTCAGCAAGGTTGACTTAAGTTAGGTTAAATATCTTGAGTTAGTGTTAGGTTAAGTCAGCAAGGTTGACTTAAGTTAGGTTAAATATCTTGAGTTAGTGTTAGGTTAAGTCAGCAAGGTTGACTTAAGTTAGGTTAAATATCTTGAGTTCGTGTTAGGTTAAGTCAGCAAGGTTGACTTAAGTTAGGTTAAATATCTTGAGTTCGTGTTAGGTTAAGTTTTGGAGAATACCTCAGAATTTATATAGACGTTTTATAAACTTTTATATTATGCCTTAAGCAGATCAGGAACACCAAACACTCTTACAGTTCTCGGCGGGAACATGAGAGAATAATCGCATCTTGACGTTGGCTGCGCTTGCCTACTTTAGCGTCCGTGGTTGTTGTCCGCAGTTTAAGGGTTGGAAAAAAATTCGCTGTATCTGAAAATAATGGGTTTTAAGCCACACAGCCTCAATATTGCTAAAGCTGCCTCCCCAAAGCTGTGAATGGTGTACAGATGCCGTAGCTACTTCACCCCTGAGTGTGAACAGGATAAAGAATGTAGAGTTTGTAGAACATCCAGATCCCACATTATATACTGGAATGACCATTGCTTAATATACCCATATAAATAATGTCCCCATGCAAATAGAGTGGATGTTTGGAAATGGGAAAATAGATGAAATATTAAAGAAATATAGAAATTTGGCATCTAGAATATAACTATGTATTATAACTAATTATATGAAATATTAGGGATTTATGTGAGTCCTGAGAGGGACATTCCTGGACTGGGGTGAGGATGACTTCATCCCTTTGAGATGTATTAATGTTTTTTTGTATCTCAATAAACGTATCAATCAATCAATCACCCCTGAGCTGTTGGTTCAAATATACATCTCCCCGACTTACGACGGGGTTAGGGACCCAAATCCAGGTCGTAAGTCGAAAATGCTTAAATAATACATAGAAAATCTAAAATGAGGGTCTCTTTTTCTTCTCAGCACCACAAAACTCTCACTTTAATATTTGGTTAGATTAGGTTAAGTTAGGGTAGATTAGTGTTAGGTTAAGTTAAGTTAGGGTAGATTAGTGTTAGGTTAAATTAAGTTAGGGTAGATTAGTGTTAGGTTAAGTTAGATTAGTGTTAGGTTAAGTTAATCACAGGTGAAATAAACCAGGTTAGGTTAATCATCAGGTGCTAATTAAATACCTTCCTTCAGGTGTAAGTCATTTAGTGTACCTGAGAACAAGCCAGTCTAAGATGAGTGACTGTGAGGAGAAGACTGGCAAGAAGAGACTGTTGGAAGAACCACATGATGTTGAGGAAGGTGAGTTATTAACTGTTGGTGACTGTATTTAACTGTTAATTAACTGTATTTAACTGTTGGTGACTGTACTTAGCTGTTAATTAACTGTATTTAACTGTTGGTAACTGTACAGTATAGTCTCGGTTTACTCGGTCAATTAAACCCGTCGACGTCCGCATAAAACGAGAAACGCGTAAATGAAATAACAACATATGGGATTAATTGAAAGACAGACTGGGCCGACCCCCAAACTCCATTTTTTCCAACACAACACTGTACGTTGTAGTCAAAATAACATCTTAATTTTATGATGGTATGCACACAATTAATTAAAAAGAGAAATATCAATAATATTAGGTTTTTTAACACTTACGTTAGTAGAAGAGATGGCCGGGCACACGGGGATGGGGGGTTGGTACCGAGGCAGAGGGCAGATTATTGGCCCTCACCTGTATCACTGTCCACCACAGAGGCTTGCAGGGCCTCCACATATTACAATATTTTATTTATTTGTTTATTCATTTGGATTATTTATATTTTCATTTTTTTAAATTCGGTTTATCTATCACTTTTGTGTGTGTGTGTGTGTGTGTTGGGAATTTGTACACTAGCAATAAATATACAGTTAATTAAAAAAATTTCAATGTTCTAATTTCCTCAATATAACTGCATATGGCTTCAAAATTCTCCAAAGAAGTGTTCAAATTTCAAAATTTTCCCGGGGGGTTTACAGCGCCCCCCGGAAATTCCAGATGTTTAGGCTCACTTCACTCGCCACCCCCACCCTCTTGGGTAGTTATATTGAGGGGGGCCTCCACAAAGAGACTGCCCACGGGCCTCCACAGGACTAAATCCGGCACTGCTCAAAGTCCATATCCTCACTATCACTGACCTGGGCCGGCTGTGGCGGGTGGCGGGTGAAGAACTCGGTAATGTTTTGTTGACTGGGTGACCTTGTGCGCACCCTGTCCGCGCCGCTTCCCTCGTAAATGACGGAATGAACCGTGGAACTAATATTTGCGGGTCTGGCCAGGTGCCGTGTAAAGGACCAAACGCGTAAAGGAAATCCGCGTAAATCGAGACTATACTGTAGTTAACTGTGAACAAGGCCATTAGAGCGGAGGAACAAGAGCGGGCCATAGGCAGTCCAGTTTACACCTATAGCTCCTATATCCACCTCACCTATAGTGTGTTTAAAGACCTCGTTAGTCTTGTAACTATCACTCCCTTGTATAACACCAAGTGCTATGTTAGCCTATGGACCCATGTACTATATTAACCAGACAGTTAACTGACCGGTAATACGGCAGTTAACTGTAATAATATTAACTTATTTATTTCATCAATTAATTGGATATTTAATTTTATTTTTATAATTATATATTTAACTATATTGAACGACATATATTTAACTACATACATTGAACGACATATATTTAACTACAGGTAGAAGTAAAGGCTCCAAGGAAGCTAGACTGGATAAAGCGTCCGAGGTGCCTCCATTAACCCCCAGTCTAACGGTCCTTACGCTAACCGCCGACGACTGGAGCCAACAGGAGTCGTCGCCGATCCAGTCTAAAGATGCGTACTCTAGGGTGTCGGCCACGGAGGAGAACGACGATGGTTCGGTCAGCTGTGGGGTCATGTGGAGAGGTGATTCAGACAACAGGGAGCCGTATCTGTCGTTATCACAGGTGTGTTGTGAGGTATTCTGGGGGGGGGGGGTATTAATGATGATATTTGGTAACGTGTTCCATTCATCCACTACTCTATTTCCAAACGAGTGTTTACCTATTTCACGCCTAAATCTAAATTTGTCTAGTTTAAAACTATTGTTACGAGTTCGCTCCTGGTTGGATAGTTTGAGTACCTTTGTTATGTCCCCTTTGTTTAGCCCTTACTTCCATTTATACACCTCTATCATGTCCCCCCTCGCTCTACGTCTCTCGAGGGAGTGTGAATTAAGATGCTTTAACCTGTCTCTGTACTCAAGGTTCCTAATGCCTAGGATTAGTCTTGTCATTCTCCTCTGAACTCTTTCCAAGGATTCTATATCCCTCTGTAATACGGTGACCAGAATTGAACTGAGTAATCCAGGTGAGGTCTCACAAGCGCAAGATATAGTTTTAGGATGACCTCGCTGGTCTTGTAACTAACACTCCTTTGTATGACCCCAAGTACTTTATTAGTCTTGTTACGAGCAAATACACATTGTTTACTTGGCTTAAGATTCCTACTTATGATTACTCCTAAATCCTTCTGCAGTTGATTTTCAATAACATCGTTGTTCATGTGGTATCTGGTTTCTGCCGTTGACACCAACTGCCCTTGACAACCATTCATTGCCAACTCTCCTTCTAGGCAGGACACCACATATGATAGGGATCCTTCCTAGCCCTAACACGTCCTACAGCTGTGTTGAACTTATCAAGAAGCTCCTCACTCTTACACCGCCAGTATCATCACGAGGCAGGTAATGGGTTTGTTCCATTACCAGAGAAGATATTGTCCCTCCTGTCAACTATATCCCCAGCTCCTGGCAAACACAACCTCAACCTATTTTTATTTCTTCCCAATAAAAATTTTGTCCAGGTACTGCACCTGGGAATGTGTCAACAATTAAGGTTTTTGTTTCCCCCTGACCTACTATGGTAACGTGTACCTTCCCCTCGGCCCGACCCTGACTATGGTAACGGTACCTTCCTGACCCTGACTATGGTAACGTACCGCCCTAACCCTGACTATGGTAACGTGTACCTTCCTCCGCCCTGACCCTGACTATTGGTCTATCAAAGGACTGAGAGAGTTTTTACACTTGGCTGTTTGTTGTTTCCTTGGTGTCTTTTCTCACCACCAGTTTAGTCGTGCCTCTCGACCTTCCCTTCACCTCAGTCTTCATCACACTTTCCTTGCCTCATGTCTTCTCTGACCTTCACTAACTCGGCCAGTAGCTCGGCCTTGTTTACGACTGGCCATTACTGACAATTTATCCCTCGGAGCTAAGTCTGCCGTGATCTTTACTCCAGTGAGGTCACGTTAGGTTAGGTTAGCGTCAGGTTAGGTCAGCATCGGGTTAGGTACAATAAACTAGGGTGTCTAATCTTCACCTCCTCTGCCCATAGGTGTCTGTGCTGTCAGAGAGAATCAAACGGCAAGAAATTTGATCAGGGACCCAGACCTACCACTTCTCTCAACCAGTAACTGACAGTCCAGAGCCGACAGACAGTCAGGCACAGTCCAAAGAAACTGCACTTGCCAGTCTAAACCTTAAGACAGTTATTCAGGTGAGTTAAATGACTGTTATCTTCAGGTGAGCTCTTGGGGTCAAGGCTGGCAGTACGGTAAGGTTGATATTTAGTCAGAATGTACGGCTACGGAATTATGGTACAATATTTTCCTCGAGCACGTATGGTACGATTTGGGTACGGAAAATGAGCAAAATCCATACCGCACTCTCAGGCTTAAAACACGATCGCGCACTTATTAACCCCTTGAGGATTGTGACACATTTTGACAGTTTATTGTGGCTAATATTAGACACTTTTTATGCAGCTTAGAAGGATTTGTGGGAATAAACAGTATAGACTAGCCATCCGTGGTGTTGCCTTCATATACCCTTCCTAAATTGAATAAAACATCTAATAATATTCAGAAAAGAGAAAGAAAGAGTCATCATCTTGAAAGGTTAATGTGGCTTGATCAGTACCGTTCACTTGCTGGTAGTGTCGGTACTGATCATTTGCGCCACGCCAACTGTTCAAGCAGATAACTTGAGAGTACTAGAAGTTCTGCTATAACGCGATAATTGTGTTCTTGAAAATATCGTTATAGAAAATCGTAATAGAAATAACAGGGCTTATGGAGAAAATAGTTTAGTGCAGATTACTCAAATCTAAAAATTTAGTAGTTAGCCTAACACAAAGGATAGACAGTCTAAATAAATGTTACATTCATATCTAATAATGAAATCATACAGTAAATGTAACACTTTACTGGAGGGGGAGAAGGGTGATTTTGAGGTTGATAACATCGAGCTTCTCTTCAAGGTTATATCCTTTCTTTTACGATCACCGAATTCTATCACCAGAACGGTTCTTGGGAGATATTCTTCTTACCATATTCACAGTTAATACCACAAAATTGGAGAAATAGTAAGCAAATCGCATTATAGAAAACAAGCGTCACAGTATACAAATATTGTTCCTAATTCATAAATCGCGTAGAGCAAATTGCTGTATCAAAACAGCTTATAGCAAAACTCACTGTTTGTTCCAACTCTCACAGTCACTCTTGCCATTGTTGGGACGAGCAGTATCCTCTGAGGAGGCAGGGAACTTTATCTAATATTATTGATATTTTTATTATTATTATAAAAATTATTCTTATTACAATTTAATATTTTTTCTGGCTGTAGGCTGATACAATTTATCTTCAGTGTCCAGTCACAGCACATTTACATCTATAGTCACTTTGTAAATGTTCCTTTAAAATCCACACATGTACTGTACTCTAATAATTTGTTCACAAATAAAAGAATTATTTTAATGTAAATATATTTTGCTGATGGTAATGATAAAAGTACAGAATTACTGTATGCAGAGTTTAAGCCAGGTACGGAGAGCGAAAATATTCGTACTGGCATCAGTACTACCAGCCTTGCTTGGGGGTATCTTCTGTGAGCACTTGGGGGTTAATCTTCAGGTGAGCCACTTGGGGGTTAATCTTCAGGTGAACACAGAGTTAATCTTCAGGTGAACACTTGGGGTTAATCTTCAGGTGAGCACTTGGGGGTTATCTTCAGGTGAACACTTGGGGTTAATCTTCAGGTGAACACTTGGGGGTTAATCTTCAGGTGAACACTTGGGGTTAATCTTCAGGTGGCAGGGTTAATCTTCAGGTGAACACTTGGGGGTTAATCTTCAGGTGAACACTTGGGGAGTTAATCTTCAGGTGAGGACTTGAGGTTAATCTTCAGGTGAGCACTTGGGGGTTAATCTTCAGGTGAACACGGGGTTAATCTTCAGGTGAGCACTTGGGGGTTAATCTTCAGGTGAGCACTTGGGGTTAATCTTCAGGTGAGCACTTGGGGGTTAATCTTCAGGTGAACAGGTTAATCTTGGTAGCCTGGTTTCTGGTGAACACTTGGGGTTATCTTCAGGTGAACCGGGGTTAATCTTCGGTGAACACGGGTTAATCTTCAGGTGAACACTTGGGGTTAATCTTCAGGTGCTAGACCTGGGTATCTTCAGGTGAACACTTGGGGTTAATCTTCAGGTGAACACTTGGGGGTTAATTTGGGTACTTTTAATCTTCGGTGACTGGGTTAATTTCAGGTGAACACTTGGGGTTAATCTTCAGGTGAGCACTTGGGGTTAATCTTCAGGTGAGCTTGGGGTTAATCTTCAGGTGAGCACTTGGGGTTAATCTTCAGGTGAACACTTGGGGTTAATCTTCGGTGAACTTGGGGTTAATTCAGGTGCTGTTAATTGTATTCTTCAGGTGAACACTTGGGGTTAATCTTCAGGTGCAGGGGGTTAATCTTCAGGTGAACACTTGGGGGTTAATCTTCAGGTGAACACTTGGGGGTTAATCTTCAGGTGAGCACGGGGGTTATCTTCAGGTGAACACTTGGGGTTAATCTTCAGGTGAGCACTTGGGGTTAATCTTCAGTGAGCACTTGGGGTTAATCTTCAGGTGAACACTTGGGGTTAATCTTCAGGTGAACACTTGGGGTTAATCTTCAGGTGAGCACTTGGGGGTTAATCTTCAGGTGAACATGGGGTTAATCTTCAGGTGAACACTTGGGGTTAATCTTCAGGTGAACACTTGGGGTTAATCTTCAGGTGAACACTTAGGGGTTAATCTTCAGGTGAACACTTGGGGTTAATCTTCAGGTGAGCACTTGGGGGTTAATCTTCAGGTGAGCATGGGGGTTAATCTTCAGGTGACCGTTAATCTTCAGGTGAGCACTTGGGGGTTAATCTTCAGGTTAGGACTTGGGGGTTAATCTTCAGGTGAGCACTTGGGGGTTAATCTTCAGGTTAGGACTTGGGGGTTAATCTTCAGGTGAGGACTTGGGGGTTAATCTTCAGGTGAGCACTTGGGGGTTAATCTTCAGGTTAGGACTTGGGGGTTAATCTTCAGGTGAACACTTGGGGGTTAATCTTCAGGTGAACACTTGGGGGTTAATCTTCAGGTGAACATGGAGTTAATCTTCGGGCAGACACTAAGGGTTAATCTTCAGGTGAACACTTGGGAGTTAATCTTCAGGTGAACACTTAGAGTTAATCTTCAGGTATTGAACACTTGGGGTTAATCTTCAGGTGGCCAGCACTTAGGGAGATAATCTTCAGGTGAGCACTTGGGGGTTAATCTTCAATTGAGCACTTGAGGTTAATCTTCAAGTAAGCATGAGGGGTTAATCTTCAAGGTGAACACTTGGGGTTAATCTTCAGGTAGACACTTGGGGTTAATCTTCAGGTGAACTGCTTGGGGTTAATCTTCAGGTGAACACTTGGGGTTAATCTTCAGTGAACACTTAGGGGTTAATCTTCAGGTGAACTGCCGGGGTTAATCTTCAGGTGAACACTTGGGGAGTTAATCTTCAGGTGAAGAAACTTGGGGGGTTAATCTTCAGGTGAGGACTTGGGTTAATCTTCGGTGAGCACTTGGGGAGTTAATCTTCAGGTGAGGACTTGGGGGTAATCTTCAGGTGAGCACTTGGGGGTTAATCTTCAGGTTAGGACTTGGGGGTTAATCTTCAGGTGAGCACTTGGGGGTTAATCTTCAGGTTAGGACTTGGGGGTTAATCTTCAGGTGAGGACTTGGGGGTTAATCTTCAGGTGAGCACTTGGGGGTTAATCTTCAGGTTAGGACTTGGGGGTTAATCTTCAGGTGAACACTTGGGGGTTAATCTTCAGGTGAACACTTGGGGGTTAATCTTCAGGTGAACATTAAATGATAAACAAACCCTTTAATATTTATCGACAATTCAATTTTTTATCGGACAGAAAAGCGGCAGTCAGTCATTGGTTTGTTGCGTACCTGATTGTGCGACGCGATTGGACGAGAGGGAGTGTACAGCCTCGTTTTACACCATCCCCAGTGACGAGGCTCAGAGGCTCTTGTGGTTGGAGGCTCTCGACATCAACCTGTAAGTCACTGTTTATTGTATTTCATTTTCCGACATTAATTTGATTACACTGGTGCAGGTAATTGGTGTGGTGTAACGACCCTTAACTACCACCAGACCCCATACTAATAATAAAGGTATTCTGTCCCCCCCAGACAGGAGCCAGAGAAGACTCTACACGTCTGTGGTCAACACTTTATCATCCCCAAGAGATTACCAACAGCAAAAGCCAGGACCAGGAAGAAGAAAACATGTGATATGGTGGGTGTGGGGGTGTGTGTGGGTGGGTGTGGGTGTGTGGGTGGGGGTGTGTGTGTGTGGGTGCGTGATTGATTTTGCCCCTTACAGCGGCTACTTTATTGTGCACCCCACACTCATCCTGTGAGCGGTAGAGTTAAAGGATTACAGAGTAGAGTTTACAAAGGGTCATAATAATTAACACCCGTTGTCAGGATATTATGGCACTGAATGTTACACAGTATTTCAATTACATTAATTGTTTAGTTCTATACATAAAGGGTAACTTATTCACAAATGTGTGAGAACAGGCGTGTGAGGCAGTATGTCTGCCCTCACACTTTGTTATTCACATTTACGTAAAATGTATTTAAGCACATTGTGTATTTGGTTCTGTACATGAGAACTGATATAGTGGATATGGCAATCCTGGGTATAGGCCTTGCCTCTCGGGCAAGTGCTCAACCCACACGTTAGTTCACTTGTTATACAGGCAACACAGTTGTTGACCTATCGGTAAAGGCCAAGTGATAGGAAGAACGCCTAATGTTACCCTGTGAGAATCCTCCACACAACCTTGCTCACACACACAAGCTGAGGGGTAAACCATAGTGACAGTGCAAGAAGTAGGGTTGACTGGGAGTGAACACACTGGTTGATTACATGTTATTGATAATTTTTACAATGGTTGGGACTGGGCTGTTCTTACAGCGATCAGTTCGTGCTCGTATGGGCTGGATGCGGTTGTGGTGTCGAACAGCAATTCTCGGACTAGGGATCTCTGGTGGTAGTAGGAGCCGGTGTCGGGGATGGTGTAGAAGCTTCTTACCAAATTTGCAGATGAGGTCGTGGTGATGGTCAGTGAGAGTCGAAAGGGTCAGTGTGTTGAGCGCTTCTTGATATGTGGAGTAGGAAGGGGAGAGAATAATCTTGCATGACCTCTTTTACACTTTTTCTAGGTGTTTAAGTTGTGTGGCATTTGGAGGAAGTCCAGGTGGGGGAGGCATAGGTGAGCTTGGGAAGTATGAATGTTGTGTAAACACCGAGGAGCTCGTGTGCAGGAACTCCGAGGGACTCGAGTCGGCGGAGGAGGCGGAGACGGAAACTGGAGGATTTGACAACTTAACTGACGTGTGGTATCCAATTTAGTTTGTTGTCTATGGTGACACCGAGGAGCTTAGTGGAACCTACAACCTGGAGTGTGTGTGTGTGTATGAGCATAGCTGAACCCTAGAGAAGTATAACGGTGTATCTATCAACGCACTAAACAGATGGAAAATGTTAGGTCGTACCAACATACAGTGAGGACGACAGGACCACTGCTGTATGTGTGTCAACTTGGCCAACAACATACAATAAACACAAACATATACATAAGGTCCAGAAATATTTAACGAGAACCTTATAATTTGTGATGTAATTTATACTGTTAATGAATAATGTTAACTCAAACTCACATCATAAACCTCCAAATCAGCAGGAACCCAAGACAAAGTTATCCAGTCAGTCCGGCCAGCGACCACAAGTCATATCACCCACACACACCAAAAACAATACTCTAATCCTATAACTTTACTTTATACAATTACGATAACAATTTCCGATAACTCTTGCTTACAGAGAATATCCAAACATTAATCAGTATATATACCAAACAACAAAACTAACTTGCATAATATTAAATTTTCTTGTCGAGAAAGTACGTTACAACAACCACCACCACCACTCGCCTACAACAACCACCACCACCACCACCACCACTCTCGCCTGTGTCTGCCTTCATGCTCAACAATAATTTTTATACCAAATATATTTATTTTAGTACAATAAATTCTTACGTCCATATTACAGTAGAAGTCCAAAAATCCGGACAGCCTGGGGATTGGGTCGGTCCGGATTTTCGGATTCTCAGGCAGTACTTTTAAAATTCAAATTTAAGGAGGAATAAAGAAGAGATGAACAGGTACACTTTGATAGTTTATTCATAAGCAAGTAAAGCATGCTTCATTTATCAACACGAGCAGTTTTAAAGAAAAATAAAGTCAACACTTGACAAAAATGTAAACAAACTGTCTAATACCATGACGAGTCTTGAAATTCCTAAGCCATCCATCACTAAATGCTCGCTCTGATTCAATGTTTATTTGCTCCTTAAAAGACTTTGCTTTGGCAATAAGCATCAGCCCATAAATTGCCATACCTTCTGATAGTTTTAACAAAAACCATTTGTGCAACACTTTATCAAGATTTTCTAATTTGGGCCAATATAAACTTTTTCTTTCAGCAATTTTATTGTAAGGCTCAGAAGAAGTTGTGAATTCTAGAATTTTATTCTTTGCCTTTTTTATATCATAAATTGTAGTCTTTCCAGTGTGGTATGTTTCCATTAGATCAGTGTTGTTCACACCACGTTCTAGTGTCTTAATTATTTCAAGTTTGTCACTCAGTTTCAACGTGTTCTTCTTTCTCTTCACACAACCAAGTTTATCTACTGTAGGAGCCATTATTATGGGCTTGTACAGTACAGTACTCTGTACATGGAAACAGTAGGACTCAAAATTACATACGTTGTCACAGTTTGATTGCTCGTTTTAAAGTGGCGACCGCGTGGTCACTTGTTGTCGTTGTGTAGCTGTGGCATTCACGCATGCACACATACACACAAAAGATTTATAGTGCCTCAAATTTTACATTTCAGTTCAAACTAATTACAAAACTAGCAAAATTAGCTACCTATAATTTACAATTACTTTTATTATTAGAATTATGTAAATTAATTTTTTTAAAGCAACTCCATTCATTCACGTAACCCACAAAAGTCCGCTAAATGTAAAAAGTTTGAAAGTTTTCGAAAAGTCCGGATTCTCGGGCGGTCCGGATTTCTGGCATCCGGATTTTTGGACTTTTACTGTATTTATATAATACCAAACAAATGTATATTTTTACACGTGACATAGCTCGTCAGACCCTGTATGATGATACATAAATCAACCAATCAAACAACTTAAGCAATCAATCAATGAATCACCTTTGTCTTGTTTCAGTTGCTGGCAGAAGAAGCAGAAAAGATTAAACAAGGAATGACCGGTGGACGACCCAAGAGAACACCCAAACCAAACAAGAATTATGATTGGGCAGAAATGTAAGATGTTTTTATTACTTTGACCCCTATATAATGAAGTATATTGAGTGTGTGACCCCTATATAATGAACTTTAGTACAGTAATATATCCCCATTAGCTGGAACACTCGGTCCACAACACTTCCAGGAATGACACATTTCCAGGTAACCAGACGACTCTCAAACCTGGAAAAATATCTCCCATTCCCCGAATTTTCTGGGTATCGGTAAAATTTTCTCAGAAATTTGCGGAAAATTCTGACTCTGGCAACGATTTTCCGAGGTCCACATTTTCCGGAAATTTCTGAGAAAATTTTACCAATACCCTGAGAATTCCAGGGATGGGAGATATTTTTCCAGGTTTGAGAGTCGTCCGGTTACCCGGAAATGTGTCATTCCCGGAAGCGTCGTGGACCGAGCGTTCCAGCTAACGGGGATATATTACCGTACATATATCCATTAGAGTCCACCCTAATGCTCTCGTTGTTTTAACAGCGTTCCGTTCATCAAGTCCGAACCTGTAGACGACGAGGAGCTAGACCCGGCGACCCCAAACAAGACCTCGACAAAAGGCTCGGGTCTGGTCGGCCGAAGGAGGAAACAGATTTTCTCAAAGGTGAAAAAGGAGGACAAAGAAAATGAGCGGCCGACTCTCGACCCAGAGATGTACGACGACGACGAGTACGGCGAAGATGTCAGCATGCCCAGCCACCCTCGACCGCCGCCCCCTAAGCCAAAGGGCCGACCTCACAGAATCAGAGACAACTGTACGCAGACTGTGAGTACACCCTACCCTACCACTAACCTACCCTACCACTACACTACCCTAACCTAACCTAACCTACCGTACCACTACACTAACCTAACTTAACCTATAACAACTTTAGTATAGCAAAGTGTATAAGAACCTTGATATAGTGAGATGTACAACAGCATTTATATAACAATAATATTATTAATCTCGACACTGACTTTACGACCCTAGGCTAACATTTTTCTTTACCCTATGTTCCAGGACGTTCTTCGTAACGCCAGTCTAAGAATACCTCTACGAGAGGTGAAGGTCCAGTGTAATTTGACGTCTCAACCGCTCGTTTCGTGTTCCAGTTGTTCGAGCATTAACTGGGAGAGGTATGATGACCTCTCTCTCTCTCTCTCTCTCTCTCTCTCTCTCTCTCTCTCTCTCTCTCTCTCAAATCACTTGATTAACTCACTAAATGATAAATACATCCCCAAATTAACACATCCTAACTTAACTAATCCTCCTCCCGTGTTTCAGACTAGAGGAGTTACTGCTCGAGTGTTTGCCCAGACTCGAGGGGGAGATATGTGGCCCTCAAGTTAGTGAGTGTTTGAGGGGCATCTTGGGTGAGGTCCAGGAGCCAACACACGCTTCCAATGTCCTCAAGATGTTGGGAGGCCTCGAGAGAGACATATTGGAGGTAAATGAGCGATATATGCTCTTTCTTGATCTTTAAATGCTCCAGTGTAATGTGTCAATTCTCTTTCTTGATCTTTAAATGCTCCAGTGTAATGTATCAATGCTCCAGGTGCAGTAGAACGTCGATATAATACGAGATACGTGCTGGAAGACTTCACCTTAAATCAATTCCTCACTAAATCAGAGTCGTTTCAATGGAATAATTTACTTTGGTACTTGAGAGGAACACAAAAGACCTTAATTAACTACTAAATATGAGAGAAATATATAGTGTTATATATATTACCTGTAGTGAAGATAAGAGGTGGAGGGTGGTGTTACTGTACTGTTTACTAGTGATCAGCTGATGTGAGAGGGTGGGGGCACACACAGCCCACCTCTCGTCTGCCCCACTCCATCCCTACCACTCGCCACACACACTCACTTCCCCCTCAACTTAGTTTTTCATTAATTTATCCTGTTAAAAATATATTTTCATCCACCATTAGTTAGGCAAGTCATCCTCAGAAGAGACAGAGCCTAACTGACCCCAGCTCATCATCTACACTACTGTCTGGGGGGTGTGGGGGCACTGTATGTCTTATACCCAGGGTGTGGCTGTGGGGGCACTGTATGTCTTATACCCAGGGTGTGGCTGTGGGGGCACTGTATGTCTTATACCCAGGGTGTGGCTGTGGGGGCACTGTATGTCTTATACCCAGGGTGTGGCTGTGGGGGCACATCATAGAACAACATCATCTTATCCTGGCAGCACACTTCAGGTGGAGTTTATCTTTGGCAACATCTGGTGAAGTATAGACTGCTCTAATTTTCTTCTCGTTGGGTTTTATAGTGCGGAAAGAGCTCTCCGACAGTCCAAATTGGAGCCCCCCACTCTTGAAGCACCACACTTGAAGCACCACACTTGAAACACCACACTTGAAGCACCACACTTGAAGCACCACACTTGAAACACCACACTTGGCACCCCACACTTGAAGCTCCATTTCCACATTGCAGTGTTTTCATTACCTTGTTATTCTACTCTAGTGTAATTGTTTGCCTTAATTTCTTGGCCTTTGGGGTAGTTAATGATGTAGTGGTTGGCCTCTTGGATATAGTAGCTGGCCTCTTGGACATAGTAGCTGGCCTCTTGGATATAGTATCTGGCCTCTGGACATAGTAGCTGGCCTCTGGACATAGTAGGTGGCTTCTTGGATATAGTAGCTGGCCTCTTGGATATAGTATCTGGCCTCTTGGACATAGTAGCTGGCCTCTGGACATAGTAGCTGGCGTCTTGGACATAGTGGTGATGGTTGATACACATGGTAGAAGGAGATATAGTAGTGTCACACAATATGTCCGTAGAACTGAGGGTGTGGGACGGTGGTGGCCAGAGAGGTGTTTGGCGGGAAACATAAAATATTGTTTATTTACTCACGATGCTCCAGATTTGACTCGCGTAAAAGATTTGCTCTAAATTGATATCGTGTCCTTAATTGTGGGTGTTGCTTTAAATTGATTATTTTAGATCGATTTGCTTTAAATTGACGTTCTACTGTACTGTATCATTGCTCTTCCTTGATCTGTGAAAGGTTAGGTTAATATTACTTCATTCAGTCATAAACAGTTAATGAAGGCAGATACACTGTTAATATTACTCCAGTCAACTATTTAACAGTTAATGAAGGCAGATACACTGTTAATATCACTTCATTCAGTCATTTAACAGTTAATGGAGGTATAATCAATCAAGTTATACCATAGAAAAATAATCAAAAATATAAAGAAAACAATTATTTGGCTTTACAGTGCCGAGCCAAGCCAGGCCGAGCCAAGCCAGGCCGAGCATTAATACAATATATTTGTTTTTTTTACAGAGCGCCAAGGACATTGTCTTAGTTTCAACACAAGATGACGAGGTGGAAATTGAGAACGTGATTCACCCAGAAGTAGTGAGTATGGGACCAACTTGGGGTCACACAGTAATATACCCGGTAGCCAGAGACCCGGAACTCACCCATGGCCGGATTGGAATTTTCTCGGAAAGTTGTTCCCATAGCTGGAATATTCCGGAGAATTCCAGCTTCGGGAGCGATTTTCCGAGAGACATTTAACGGTATATGTCGAGGAAATTTCCCAATACAGGTTGGACCTCTCTAGTCCGGCATTCTGTGGTCCGGAAACTCCCGTGGTCCGGAACGATTTTAGTTTGTCCAATAGGTAGATAGGCAGAGTACAGCAACAACCCTTCAATATATATGAGCAGTAAATAAGTGTTGCTTTCATATTCTTATGTAGAGTAATGACGATATATTTTCACATGTGCGCACTTACATACGAGCAGTCTCACTTTTTTTTTTACCATTAATGGTTAGCTACTTATATTGTTCCATTTATTAACATTAAATAACATTACAGGTACTTCAAGCAACCATATTCATTTTTTACATTAATTTTACTACAGCTAAACTCAGGGTCTTATTTTCTTCAGTTTTATATGTAGAACCAATCAGTCACTGGTTTCGTAAGCTTTAACATAAACAATGCCGGCAGCCGTCTCGTCTCCTCTAATACTCCACATATTATTAATAAATTGTATTGTTAATTTTGCACACACAAACATTAATTCAATAAAAACAAATTCAGAAACAGTAAATAAGTGTTGCTTTCATATTCTTATGTAAAGTAATGACGATATGTTTTCACGTGTGCGCACTTACATATGCGATCTCTTTTTTCTTTACCATTATCGTTAGCTACTTCTATTGTTCCATTTATTAACATTAAATAACATCACTTAAAACAACCATATTAATTTTACTACAGCTACAACCAAGGTCTTATTTTCTTCAGTTTTATATGTAGAACCAGTCAGTCACTGGTTTTGTAATCAACGAAAACAATGCTGTCTCATTTGCTCGTGTGTCTTAATATTCTACGAATTATTAATGAATTGTATTGCTCATTTTGCACACATAAACATTAATTCAATAAAAAAGACATTCAGAAATAAACAATAATGAATCTTTTTTACATAAGAGAAATGACGCTGTTTACAGATTGTGCACGTTGGCGGGCCGTTCAAACCCGTCGAAATTTGAGTTTCTGCCGTCAAAATTTTTAAATGTGTTGATTTTTGTGTGTGTTCAAATAGAAAACGTCGAATTAAAAACTTGTGAAATTTGAGAAGCTACTGTACGACATTTAACCCTTCAATATGTCTTCAAAGAGACCACGAAGCAGAGAAAGTGGTGCTAGTGCTTCCAAGCATAAGCACAAGTCACTGCCTATCCAGGAAAAGGGTGAATTTCCATTGTCCGTCACCGGTCAGGTCCCGAGGTTGCCGGACTAGAGAGGTACAACCTGTACTATATTATGATTATGATTATTAGTATTAGTATTATTAGTATTATTATTACAGTAAGTCCTCGCATAAGTCGCCCGCTTAACATTGTTTCTGTACTACATAAGAAAATAAGACCCTGGTTGTAGCTGTAGTAAAATTAATGTAAAAAAATTAATACATATATTTTAAGTAATGTTATTTAATGTTAATAAATGGAACAATAGAAGGAGCTAACTACTAATGATAAAGAAAAAACTAAATTGATTGTGAACGCCGACGTATGGACGGTAAGTGCGTTCACGTGAAAACATATCGTCATTTATCAACACGAGAATATGAAAGCAACAGAAGGACAGTCGATGAATATTGTGAGAGTTTTTACTCAGGTGACAAAGTAATCAGGTTCAACTGTGGCTAAAGCTGTACAAAGACCTGTACTGGGGTGTTTACAATGATGTATAGTACAGTATTGACATGAGTAATGCTGGACTTACCAACAGACCTAACAGTTGGTGGGGGGGCCACTACTACTACCACTACTACTACCACTACTACTACTACTACTACTACTACCACTACCATTATTGTATCTCAACAGGAAGCTCCCATGACCGGCCTCAAGGAAATAATACCCAAAGTATGGCAAGAAAAACCCAAGTGGAAAGAAGAGATGGAGGAGGAGGAGGATGAGGACGACCCCGACGGCTTTGGTCTCCAGGAGGCGACCGACATGGACGACATAGAGTTCCATCCTCGCGTCTCCCGGCGTGAGGAGGAGGAGGAGGAGGGAGCAGAAGAAGAGGAGGAGGAAGAGGAGGAAGAGGAGGAAGATGATGATGAGTGGAACATTAATAAGAGAGGTGAGGAGGAGGAGGGGAGGAAGAGGGAGTGTGGAGGTGTAAGGAGGAGGTGGTTAGGTTACTTTTAGAGGGTGATGTGTTTAGGTTAGGTTGTGGTTACGTTATGGTTACGTTACTTTACGTTACGTTATGGTTAGGTTATGTTATGGTTAGTTTACGTTAGGTTAAGTTATGGTTAGGTTAGGTTACTTTAAGAAATGCGATGTGTTTATAATAGTGTTACCTTTCAGACGGTGACTCGGGAGTTTCATCTGTCAGGAAAAAACAAAAGAAGATCAACAACAGAAACAAAAAAGGTAATGAATTTATTGTTGTCGTTTATATTGTGTTGAGTCTTTAAGGAGGTGAACCTTAGGTGTTGACTTAGGGGAGGGGAGGTGAGGGGGAGAGGGTAGGGGAGAGGGTAGGAGGGTAGGGGAGGAGGGGTGGGGAGGGGAGGAGGGTAGGGAGGGAGGGTAGGGAGGAGTAGGGAGGGAGTAGGGAGGGAGGAGAGGTGGGGATACATTATTTGTTTACAGGTAACAGGTCACCCAGGCACAGGTCACCCAGGCACAGGTCACCCAGGCACAGGTCACCAACCCACAAAGGGGCCTGGGGGGGTAATGAGAGTAAAAAATAAAAAATAATAAGACTATATTAATGCACCGCATAGATGCCGGGAAAGCCTCGTTATAAAGTGAGACAGATTGTATGAGTATGGAAACACAGAAGGCAGAGCATTGAACAGTGTGAGTAAAGAAGGATGTACTATAATGGGTTATTATAGTGTGACCCACACTGTGGGCAAGACACCAGCCCACGGTGCAGCCCGTTAAAGTACCTGTAAAAGAGAGAGAGTGAAGCAACATTGTGGTGAAGAGAAGAGAGATTATCAACTAAAGGAGGAGAGTTAATAAGCCTTTGATTCCAGCCTCTCTAACAGTTGAAGAGCCACCCCAGATATGAGAGCAGTACTCCAAGGAAGGACCAATTAATCCCTTATATACTTGAACCAACAGCTCAGGGGTGAAGTAGCTATGGCATCTGTACAGCATTCACAGCTTTGGGGAGGCAACTTTAGCAATGTTGTGGCTTCCATGACATATTACAGCTAATGGTGAGGCCTGGCATATCTATTACAGAATTGGCAGAATGATTGTGTCCTGAAACGTGATTGGTGGTGAAGAATGTGGAGGGAAGGAGGGTAGGTTAGGTTAGCTGAACCATGAACCTCACATTATGTTTATTATTATTGATTGAGTACAAGCCCCCACACACCCCTGTAAATGTATTCAATGCATATTATATCATTATGTCTAAATCATATGTAAGTCTGTATATTTTATGCCACACACCCCTGTAAATGTATTCAATGCATATTATATCATTATGTCTAAATCATATGTAAGTCTGTATATTTTATGCCACCAGCTGCAACTCTATTAATAAACCGTTTATTATTATTTTTATTATTACACACTCACACACACACACACACACACGCATGCACGCACGCGTACATTAACATTGTATCACATATTAACACTGACTGGTAAAGGATCATCTTAATATAATAGCCTTCGTGTGTTGCTGCCGTTCACCCAACCCAACCTAAAGGAATTTGTACCATTATTATTATTGTGTGTATTTAGAGATTAATTATTGGTTTGTGTTTAATAATAATAATAATAAGAACAGTAACCATAATATTGATAATAATAACAATAATAATAATAATTATAATAACAATAATATTAATAATAATAATAACAGTACTACAGGTTGTACCTCTCTAGTCCGGCATCCTGTGGTCCAGAAACTCCCGTGGTCTGGAACCATTTTAGTTTGTCCAATAGGTAGATAGGCAGCTTTTTTTTTTACTTATCTGAATTATTATTATTATTATTACAGGAGTATTAAATTTTTGCCCCTCAGGCTGCTCTCTCTCTCTCCTCGTCTATACAGAGTACAACATTTAACCCTTCAATATATATGAGCAGTAAATAAGTGTTGCTTTCATATTCTTATGTAGAGTAATGATATGTTTTCACACATGCTCAGTTACATACGCGTAGTCTCACTTTTTTTTACCATTAATGGTTAGCTACTTATATTGATCCATTTATTAACATTAAATAACATTACAGGTACTTCAAACAACCATATTCATTTTTTTACATTAATTTTACTACAGCTACAATCAGGGTCTTATTTTCTTCAGTTTTATATGTAGAACCAATCAGTCACTGGTTTTGTAAACAACGAAAACAATGCCGGCAGCCGTCTCGTCTCCTCGTGTGTTTTAATACTCCACGTATTATTAATAAATTGTATTGTTAATTTTGCACACACAAACATTAATTCAATAAAAATAAATTCAGAAACATTAATTAAAATATATATGAACAGTAAATAAGTGTTGCTTTCATATTCTTGTGTAAAGTAATGACGATATGTTTTCACGTGTGCGCACTTACATATGCGATCTTTTTTTTCTTTACCATTAATGGTTAGCTACTTCTATTGTTCCATTTATTAACATTAAATAACATTACTTAAAACAACCATATTAATTTTACTACAGCTACAACCAGGGTCTTATTTTCTTCAGTTTTATATGTAGAACCAGTCAGTCACTGGTTTTGTAATCAACGAAAACAATGCTGTCTCATTTGCTCGTGTGTTTTAATATTCTACGTATTATTAATAATTTTGTATTGCTCATTTTGCACACTTTAACATTAATTCAATAAAAAAGACATTCAGTAATAAACAATAATGAATCTTTTGTACATAAGAGAAATGACGCTGTTTACACGATTATGCATTTCGTCTGCACGTTGGCGGGCCGTTCAAACCGGTCGAAATTCGAGTTTTCGCCGTCCAAATTTTAAATTTTGCAGTTTTTTTTTGTGTCCAAATCAAAAACATCGAATTAAAAACTCGCGAAATTTGAGAAGCTACTGTACAACATTTAACCCTTCAATATGTCTTCAAAGAGACCACGAATCAGTGAAAGTGGTGCTAGTGCTGCCAAGTGTATGCACAAGTCACTATCTATGGTCCGGAAATTTCCACGGTCCGGCACCGGTCAGGTCCTGAGGTTGCTGGACTAGAGAGGTACAACCTGTACAACAATTAACTGTTAAACTCTGGTGGCAAATTAACGCTTTCAGAGGACTCATTTATATATACTTATTTTTACCCACAATAAGACATACTAAGACTAATTACTTGTCAGTAATATTACATTATAAAAAAACTAACATTTTAAAAGATCAGAATAACACCGACATATTACTCGGCCGTCAACAGAGGCGGGAAATATGAAGTTGTTAACAGTTAATTCTTGTATAATATTTCTGATAAACTTTCTAGGTGTTTAAGTTTGAAATAATTAATGTATGTATCTTATATAATTTAGCTAAATATCTTTCTCGTCATAAACGGTCATTATGAATAAACTCATTTAGAAATACAGCATTACTTCAGGACTAAATTGGACAGATTTGCAACAGCCAATCAGGAGTGAGTATTGAGGAGGGGGCGGGGCATCTCTTCTCAGCTGGGAAAAAAATGCACTATAGTTAATTACAGTATAACACCAGTGGTATAATTACACCTGTAGGAGTTAATGATCATAACACAGGTAATTACTGTGTAGTACAGTAGTTAAGGCCAATTAATATTATACCTCATTTGACCAATCACAACCATATTTACATTATCCTGTAATGCATTTGACCAATCACAACCCTGTTTACATTATCCTGTGATGCATTTGACCAATCACAACCCTGTTTACATTATCCTGTGATGCATTTGACCAATCACAACCCTGTTTACATTATCCTGTGATGCATTTGACCAATCACAACCCTGTTTACATTATCCTGTGATGCATTTGACCAATCACAACCCTGTTTACATTATCCTGTGATGCATTTGACCAATCACAACCCTGTTTACATTATCCTGTGATGTTTATTTGTTACCTCACGAAGATAAACATTTTATATATTTAACAAATTTTTTAACTGTGATTTATATTGACTTTTATGATGATTTGAAGGAAGTTGTTAATTTGTGATGGTGTTAGGTGTTAAATATGTGGTGTTAGGAGGTGTTAAATATGTGGTGTTAGGTGTTAAATATGTGGTGTTAGGAGGTGTTAAATATGTGGTGTTAGGTGTTAAATATGTGGTGTTAGGAGGTGTTAAATATGTGGTGTTAGGTGTTAAATATGTGGTAGATACGGCAGAACGAACAAACACACACACAAGATGGTCACTACAGGGACGACATTTTTAATATTTTATTTGGTTAACAACAGATGATTTTATTCAGTTCAGAGGCGACCCAAGATTATTTAACCTAATGCTAAAATGGTCTACCCTACCACTACCTTACCCTACCACTACCGTACCCTACCACTACCCTACCACTACCCTACCACTACGTGCCTACCACTACCGTACCCTACCACTACCCCTACCCCTACCACTACCACTACCCTACCCCCTACCCCTACACCACCTACCTACCCTACCACTACCCTACCACTACCCTACCCTACCCTACCCTACCCTACCCCTACAGTACCCTACCACTACCCTAACCTAACCTACCTCCCCAGGAAGCAATAGGGTGTTTTAATCATCAGGTGAAGTAAGTTGAGACTTTCTGTTCACCTTCAAGATCTTCGTTGAGTAAGACTCTGTGTGTGTGTGTGTGCGTGTGCGTGCCTGCGTACGTGCCTGCGTGCGTGCCTGCGTGCGTGCGTCCCTGCGTGCGTGTGTGTGTGTGGACCCCATACTGCACTGTGTCTCTCCCATCTCCCTTATGCTTGTGTCTCTTCCTTCCAGGGCGAGATTGTTGTCCTGGGGAAGAAAGAGACCTACGGGAGATGGAGAGAGACCCATTGTGTGATGATAGTGATGATGATGATGATGAGGAGGAGGAGGATTGTGATAGAGGCCACACAATAACTATATCAGATAAAGGTGTGCTGAGGGTTGAGGGGTATGGCGGAGGAGGTAGTTTGAGAGAGAGACACGTCGTTAAGAAACTCCGTAAGAGTGGCGACGATCGTTGGTTGAGAGGGTCTTACAAGTGCCCCAAGTGTGAGAAGGTCTTTACCACCAGACTTAAGATGGAGCGTCATCACCAGTACCTGCACCTGGGTATAGCGCCGTGGACGGGGAGTCACCTGTGCGAGGAGTGCGGCAAGACGTTCACTCAGAAGGTCGGGCTCAGGGTCCACCGCATGCACAAGCACGGAGACCCCAAACAGTTCCCGTGTTCGCTGTGTAGTTACGAGGCCGTCACCAAGGCCAAGCTCAAGAGACACCTCAGGAGTCACTCGGACGATCGGGTCTTCACGTGCGAGTTCTGCGGCCTGGCCCTCAAGACGTCGGACACCCACCGTAACCACCTGGCCCTGCACACCAACGAGGGCCGGTACCAGTGCGAGGTGTGTAAGAAAGCCTTCCACCACAAGCAGTACTACGAGGACCACTGCAGGAGCCACTTCGACGTGCGGGACTACAACTGCGACATCTGCCAGACCGCGTTCAAGACCAACAAGTCGTTGAGGACCCACGTGAGGGGCGTCCACCTCAACGACAAGCGCATAGTGTGCGACGTGTGCGGCGCGAGGTTCATGACCAACTACAACCTGCGGGGCCACATGAAGAAACACGCCCGGGCCGACCCCACCAAGCAGAAGTTCCGGTGCAACAACTGTTCCTACTTCTTCCTGGGTGAAGTCGGACTCAACACTCACAGGTGTATGGTGCACCCACAGTACAGACCCGTCCAGATCAAGATAGAGTCCGACGGCTCCTCTCCGGCCGTCTGCGACGGACGTAAGACCGACGGCCTCGAGGAGGAGCCCGACGGAGACGGGACGCCGTACGCCGCCGACATAGAACACGTCATCGTAGAGGGCCGGTCGGAGGCCACAGCCTACCAGACCCACGGCTCTCTCCTCACGGGGGACGAGGCCGGGGTGGAGGCCGTGGAGGCCGTGGTGGAGGACCGCGGCGAAGACGAACCCAGACAACACGTGAGCGTGATCCACGTGTACCACTGCGACGACTGCGGCGGCATGTTCACCTCCCACGACCTCTGGGCCGCTCACACGAAGACCTGTCCTCCTTGAACCGCCCGACCTTGTCACTAGTACAGGACCTGGTAACTACAAGGGGTACATCTGCTGTCTCATTTACAAGTGTACCCTGGTCACTCAAAAGTGGTCACTCATCAGCTGTACCTTAGTCACTCATCAGCAGTACCCTGGTAACTTATCAGCTGTACCTCAGTCACTCATCAACTGTACCCCGGTCACTCATCAGCCGTACCCCGGTAACTCATCGGCTGTACCCTGGTCACTCACCAGCTGTACCTCAGTCACTCATCAACTGTACCCCGGTCACTCATCAGCCGTACCCCGGTAACTCATCGGCTGTACCCTGGTCACTCATCGGCTGTACCTCAGTTACTCATCAACTGTACCCTGGTAACTCATCAGCTGTACCTCAGTTACTCATCAACTGTACCCTGGTAACTCATCAGCTGTACCTCAGTCACTCATCAACTGTACCCTGGGGTTGGGTCTTGTGGGGCAGACCTGACACGACTGATGGGGTATTATTTTTATTATTTTTCCAGGATTGAGAGAGTCATCCGGTTACCTGTCATTCCTGGAAGTGTTCTGGACCAATTGTTCCAGCTAATACTTGTGTATTTAACGTTAATAACCATACAGGTTGTGTATAAATTATCTAAATGGATGTATACTTTTTGAACACCCTGTATAGAGATTATAAAATGTGACAATTAATGAGACATATTTGGACACCCTGTATTTGTGGACTTCCTTCAAATTCTACCCAAAATATTAACTCAGGTCTGTGTTGTGGGTCAGTTGGTGTTATGGCCGCACATGTGATTCATGACACATATGGTCTCACAGTATACACACATGGTCTCACAGTTTACACATGGTCTCACAGTATACACACATGGTCTCACAGTATACACACATGGTCTCACAGTGTACACATATGGTCTCACAGTTTACATATGGTCTCACAGTTTACACATGGTCTCACAGTATACACACATGGTCTCACAGTATACACACATGGTCTCAGTGTACACATATGGTCTCACAGTTTACATATGGTCTCACAGTACACACACACATGGTCTCACAGTATACACACATGGTCTCACAGTATACACACATGGTCTCAGTGTACACATATGGTCTCACAGTTTACATATGGTCTCACAGTACACACACACATGGTCTCACAGTGTACACACATGGTCTCACAGTTTACACATGGTCTCACAGTATACACACATGGTCTCACAGTATACACACATGGTCTCACAGTATACACACATGGTCTCAGTGTACACATGTGGTCTCACATGTGACACAGTACAGTAGTGTGGTTGGTAGGCCCGCCTCCGCCCTCAAGGTGTGGATAGAGCCACATCCTGTGTCTGTCTGACGGCCGCCTCTCATTGCAGAACAGACGCCGGTGGCCGTAGAGGGCGGGGCGGAGGAGGAGGGAGCCAAGCACCAGCCGTCCGCAGTGGGGCGGCGGAGGCGTCCGGAAGGAGACACCAGGTGGATACGTCAGGAACACCCCTGCAGGGAGTGCCACATGGTGTTCAGTACACAGAGGAAGTTTGACTTACACTTTAGCCACGTGCACCTGGGCGTGGCTCCCTGGCAGGGGGAACACACCTGCGACGACTGCGGCAAGACCTTCACCCAGAAGATCAGCCTCAACGTTCACCGCATGTTCAAGCACGGAGCTCCGCGCCGCTACCGGTGCAAGAAGTGTACGTACGAGGGCCCCACCAAGCAGTACCTCAAGCGCCACATGAGGGTACACACCGACGAGCGGCAGTACGTGTGTCCCGAGTGCGGCAAGGGTCTCAAGACGGCGGAGTCCTACAGGAACCACCTGGTGATACACACCAACGAGGGCCGCTTCTTCTGCGACCTGTGCAGCAAGGCCTACAACCACAAGGGGGCCTACGAGGACCACCGCCGCAGCCACCGGGACGACCGCGACTACGCCTGTAACTACTGCGGCGCCGCCTTCAAGGCTTACAAGCACGTGGCGCGACACATACGGGCCGTTCACCTCAACGACAAGCGCTTCGTCTGCGACGTGTGCGGGGCCCAGCACATGACCGGCTTCAACCTGAAGGCCCACCTCAAGAAACACGGAGACATATCCGACCTGCCGTACGTCTACCGGTGCAACGGCTGCGACGCAAAGTTCAGGGGAGCCGAGGGACTCAAGACGCACATGAGAGTCGTGCACGCCGCGACCGTCTCCGTCCCCGAAGAACGGGGCAAGACGTCTCCGGTCAAGACCATCGTCACGCCCCACCCGACCCGTCGGCCCGTCAGGTTCGAGTACTCTCGCATATCCGGCGGCTCGCCGGAGGCCAAGACGGAGGACAACGTGGAGACCATCTACATAGAGGGAGACACCTACGTGATCTACGACGGCAAGAACAACGACGTGGTGTACGAGGTGTACAGCACCGTGGGTCAGGAGGAGCCAGAGCTGTCCGACCCCCTGTTGACCCCGGCGGAGTCGGGAGGAGAGCGGGTCATTAACGTGTTCTCCTGCGTCGTCTGCCACACCATGTTTACCTCCGAGGCTCTCCTACACCGACACCGGGAGGACGTGCACCCCAAGGAGGCCGCCCAGTAGTTACCCCACCGAGTGTTTGAACCAATCGCCACAAGACCAATTACTGAACTGAACATTGACCTAAATTATGCCCCAATTGACCTGCAGGATCTGTTAACCTAACCTAACCCCGTAGATAGCATTAAGGTCTTAAATCATCGGGTAACTGGGGTGTCTAATCTTCACGTTATCCATTATTTCATCCGAGGTTAGCGGTAGGTTAGCATTAGGTTAGATTAAGTTAAGTTGGGTTAGGTTAGGGTGCTTATGGGCTTCCTAATCTTCACATGATCCAAACCAACGACATGAACACACACAAGGAAATATTTAATAGAGGCAGAGTGAGTGAGAGAGAGAGATAGAGAGAGAGAGTGAGTGAGAGAGAGAGAGAGAGAGAGAGAGAGAGAGGGAGAGAGAGAGAGAGAGAGAGCACTCATTATTCAGTAGTGAGTGTGACAAGGAGACAATGATCCAATGAGTAGTTTACGGGGACAAATGATGTGTTAGTGATGGAACCTGGAATAAATTAGTTTGATATTACGCAATATAACTACAGTATGGGGTCGGACAATTTGCTGACGATAAGTGACGATGTTTTGGACAATTTGCTGACGATAAGTGACGATATTTCTAAAAATTTGTTGGTGATGAGTGACGATATTTTAAATGGATCTCAGAATAAATCAGTTGTGTATTATTGAACATCAATGTGGAATGATTATTTTCCCTCAGACCATTTTTAAGTATTTTTATTGAGGGCATAAAAGTGAAACATTCTTCAACATCTTCTGACATTATATTGTATGTGTGTTTATTTTATTAACAATGTTTAAACTGTGTGTGTGTGTGTGTGTGTGTGTGTGTGTGTGTGTGTGTGTGTGTCCTCAACACCTCTCTGACGGCCGCCTCTCATTACAGAACAGTTGGTGGTGGCTGGAGAGAGCAGGCATGAGAGTGTTGGGGATGTGGCCGCCAATAGGCCACTCGTGTGGCAACAACAGGCCGCCAATAGGCCACTCGGGAAACAACAGGCTAGCCGTAGGCTATTCGCAGGGCCACAGGCTGCCAAGAGGCCACTCGGGAACCAACACGTTGCCAAGAGGCCACTCGGGAACGAACAGGCCGCCAAGAGGCCACTCGGGAAACAACAGGCTAGCAGTAGGCTATTTGCAGGACAACAGGCCGCCAATAGGCCACCGAGGAACCAAGAGGCTGCCACACACCAGGCCAAACCTCCCGTACCGAAACACAAAGTTGTACAACGGAAAAGTTTGAAGAAGCCGAAAGGAAAGACGGAGAAGGAGGTGGGTGGTGTTGGAGATAGTGGTGGAGGTGGTGGTGGAGATAGTGGTGGAGATAGTGGTGGAGGTGAGGTGTGTCTGGAGTGCGAGCAGGAGTTTGGAACCAAATACGAGTTTGAGCTTCACATCAAAGAGGCCCACCTGGGAGTAGCACCCTGGAGGTCCGAATACCACTGCCAAGACTGTAACCAAGCGTTCGCCCACAAGATCAGCCTCAACGTTCACCGTATGTTCAAACACGGCGCTCCTCGACGCTACCAGTGCGATAAGTGTGACTACGAGGGCCCCAGACTCTACCACCTCAAGAGACACATGAAAGTTCACACCAACGAGCGTCAGTTCGTGTGTACGGCGTGTAACAAGGGGTTCAAGTCCGCCCAGTCGTACAAGAACCACGCGGTGATCCACACCAACGACGGGCGGTTCGTGTGCGAGGTGTGCAGCAAGTCTTATAACCAGAAGGGTATATTTGAGGACCACCAGAGGAGTCACAGCCAAGACAGAAGATACTCGTGCGACTATTGCAAGGTCGCGTTCAAGACCTACAAACACGTGGCTTGTCACATACGCGCCGTCCACCTCGACGACAAGAGATTCATCTGCGACCTGTGCGGCATTCGGCACATGTCCGGCGCTAACCTCAAGACGCACATGAAAACCCACAAGAACGCGAGCGAGTTACCGTACGTCTTCCACTGTAACGTGTGCGACGCCACGTTCAGGGGCTTTAACGGCCTCGCCACGCACATGAGAATCATCCACGCCGCGGACGCCGACGCGGGAGCCGGGAAACTAAAGACCCCGCACCCCACGAGACGCCCCAATGCGCTCAAGTACGGCATCGTGGACGCACCCAAGGTAGACGAGGACGCCGACGCGGAGAGCGTGTGCGTCGAGAGTGACGACTTGACCCTGTGTAAGATTAAACCTGAAGACATGGAGTTTGAAGTGTGATGAAGGTGATGACTATTGGTGATGACTTTGAAGTAAGATAATGATAACTTTTAGTATGATGTGTGACTCATTGACTCACACAATGAAGCATAATTGTATCTGATGAATACAATATAATACTCACACTAGGGAATGATTTTTGTGTCATAATATTTTGAATCCTAGTGTTTGGAGTCAATGGTTTGAGTCATAATTATTACTTGTTAGTTTTGTGTGTTTAGTTTGGTTTGGTTTTGAATATAAATATATACAGTGGCCCCTCGGTTAACGAACACAATTCATTCTAGAAGGTCCTTCGCTAACCGAAACCATTGTTTCGGTGGGATTTTGTGTAATTGGTTCCGGCTCACCGAAAATAACATACAAAGTAAAAAAAACTCGGTACGGTGCTCCCTCGGTTGACGAGTTACCTTCCATAAGATTCTTAACTGCGGTTAACGAGCAATCCCTCGATTAACGAGTTTCTTACGAGCCGACCTCGACGTGTTTTCGCTTGCATTTGGCAGTCCACCAGCTGCAGTATTAGTCCGCCAATACAGTAATCGGTTTTAGGGCTTAAATTCCTTACCCTTTTAGTAAATATCAAGAAGTTTATACTATTCAATAATTTTAAAAGTTTAATATTAAATTTTGTAGTAATTTTAACAATTATTGAACATAATTGAAGGTAAGGAAAGTAGTTTAATGCGCGCCATCCACCCTGGCAACACACCAAACAGGCGCCAGTCTCTCCGTCTTTTCCGTGGAGGTAACATCTCGCTTGAGACTCTTCAACTATATAGTTTTTTCTGTGTTTGCAAGCAAATTATTGGTCATTTTGACATTTATTTTACATATTGACAATATATAATGCAGTGCAGTGTTGATTTAAAGAAAATAATCTTGAATTACACCAAGAGAACTAAAATTTTATGGGTGAAATGGCACCATGGGGTGACTTCTCTTCCACCCCAATGCCTTCTCCTCCACCCCAATGCCTTCTCCTCCACCCCCATTCTAATTCCCATCATCATCCAGGAGCCTTCTACATACACACCTCAAAGCAAGTGTACTTTTCTACTTGTATTTTTAATTTAGGCAATTTTCGGCGAGCCGGAACAAATTACCTAAAAGCTCATCGAAACAACGGTTTCGGTCAACGAGCAACTTTCTAGAACGAATTGTGCTCGTTAACCGAGGGACCACTGTAAAGTACACTTACTTTGAGGTGTGTATGTAGAAGGCTCCTGGTTGATGATGATGGGAATTAGAAGTGGGGGTGGAGGAGAAATCACCCCACGCTTCATGCCGTCATTTCCCCCATAACATTTTAAGTTCCACTCGGTGTAATTCAAGATTATTTTCTTTAAATCAACACTGCACTGCACTATATATTGTCAATATGCAAAATAAATTTCAAAATGACCAATAATTGTACTGTAAAAACATAAAAATAGTTTATGTTCAAGAGAGCCACAAGCAAGATGTTAACTCCACTGACCAGAGATACAAACTGACGCCTTGCTGGGTGAGTCAAGTGGCTGATGGGCGCACCAAAAACTAGTTTCCTGCACTGCATTTATGTTAAATAAGTGTTAAAATGACTAAAAATTTTAATATAAAACTTGGAAAATTATTGAATAGTACAGCCTTCTTGATATTTGCTCAAATGGTAACGAATTTAAGCCCTAAAGCCGATTACTGTATTGGCGGACCAATACTCCAGCTGGCGAGTAAGCGAAAACACGTTGACGTGATTTCGTAAGAATTTCGTTAACCGAATTTTTTGTTCGTTAACCGAATTGAAGATTCTTATGGAAGGTAATTCGTTAACTGAGGGATCACTGTATATTTATGTATGTATGTATGTATGTATGTATGTATGTATGTATGTACAATAACTCGCTGTAAAATTAACTAAACACGACCTCTTTAGTACACACACACACACACATGCTCTCAGTTCTAACCAAATATTCTGTCATTATAATTGACTTAAAGTTCAAGGTATTGATTTGTAAAGGATTTATTATTACTTATTATAAGTAACTCAGATTTATTTAGTTTATTATGTTGATTTTGACAGAGATGTTCATTTGACTGATTGTTCATGAATCTTATAATTGTTTACGAAGAACGATCAGTAGGTGTAGGGATGGTGGCCATCAACAGTGGTAGTTAGCTGTATGGACAGTGGCCATCAACAGTGGTAGTTAGCTGTATGGACGGTGGCCATCAACAGTGGTAGTTAGCTGTAGGGATGGTGGCCATCAACAGTGGTAGTTAGCTGTATGGACGGTGGCCATCAACAGTGGTAGTTAGCTGAAGGGACGGTGGCCATCAACAGTGGAAGTTAGCTGTAGGCACGGCGGCCATCAACAGTGGAAGTTAGCTGTAGGCACGGCGGCCATCAACAGTGGAAGTTAGCTGTAGGGACGGTGGCCATCATCGGTGGTAGTTAGCTGTAGGGACGGTGGTCAGTGTTCCATATATAGAGATGGAACAAGGAACCTTTACCTACTGTGTAATAAAGAAATCATTATCCCATAAATTGGTATAATTTAAGTTTGGAAATAATTAATTACCATAATTATTGTATTAAAAAAGATTCTTGTTTAAAATATTAACTTTGTATTGGAACTTGATAAAATTTTCAATGGATTTAATTTCTTTATTAAAAATTTAAAGTAAATTTATCTATATGGATGTGAATTTTTTCTAAACCTTTTATACGAGTTAACCTGAGGATTTGGTGTTGTGTGGTGATAGTGGCGGTAATAGCAATCACCAACGATCATTATCATCTGGGCATTATTTGTGTGGGTTACCTAATGAGAGCTCTCCACGAAGACCCACCTCTTGCCGTCTGTCTTGTCAGGTTCGTAACTCTTAATGTCATTCTTGGCTCACCTACCACTGAGTCACCTACCACTGGCTCTCCTCCTCACCACATTTAGTCTCGTGCACCTCTAGGCCTAGTTAGTCTTTACCTATAGGCCTAGTTAGTTTTTTTCAGTCTCTTCACATACTCAAAGAGGAGTAGACTAGTAAACCTGCCATGTATGGTTGTGGGGCTCAGGTGTAGACTGTAGTAAACCTGCCATGTATGGTAGTGGGGCTCAGGTGTAGACTGTAGTAAACCTGCCATGTATGGTAGTGGGGCTCAGGTGTAGACTGTAGTAAACCTGCCATGTATGGTAGTGGGGCTCAGGTGTAGACTGTAGTAAACCTGCCATGTATGGTAGTGGGGCTCAGGTGTAGACTGTAGTAAACCTGCCATGTATGGTAGTGGGGCTCAGGTGTAGACTGTAGTAAACCTGCCATGTATGGTTGTGGGGCTCAGGTGTAGACTGTAGTAAACCTGCCATGTATGGTAGTGGGGTTCAGGTGTAGACTGTAGTAAACCTGCCATGTATGGTAGTGGGGCTCAGGTGTAGACTGTAGTAAACCTGCCATGTATGGTAGTGGGGCTCAGGTGTAGACTGTAGTAAACCTGCCATGTATGGTTGTGGGGCTCAGGTGTAGACTGTAGTAAACCTGCCATGTATGGTAGTGGGGCTCAGGTGTAGACTGTAGTAAACCTGCCATGTATGGTAGTGGGGGCCATACTAACTAACACCCAGCCTAGGCCATAAACAAACTATAACCATTTTTAACATAACTATGTGATTGGTCATTGATGAAGGTTACCATAGAATAACATGATGAACTTGGTGTAGTCCTGGATGGGAGGAAAACAACAATCATTACCCTGGTACATCTCTCATTAAGTTAGGTTAGGTTATTAGAGTGTTTAGGACAAGATACTGAGGTGTTAAAAGGTGACAGAGGTGTGTGTGAGGATGGGCAGTACACACTCCCTCTAGCTGCCACAGAGGAAGTACACAAACAGTTGTCGCCGACTCACAGGGCGTTGCGTTTCTCATTACAGACGCGAGGGAAGTACGCGAGACTGCGGAGGTGTGTTGTCGTTCTTGTCGCCGCGCGTTCCTCAACGTACAGCAGCTGCGCGGCCACAGGTGTCGAGGCCATCCTTCCGGGTGTAGGCAGTTCGCCTGTAACACCTGCGGTAAGACCTTCACCCAGAAGATCAGTCTGCAGTACCATAATATATACGTTCACAACGGGGAGAGGAAGGCCGCCTGTCCTCACTGCGATTACAAGGCTCCAGATAAGGCCAAGTTGTCGGTGCACCTCCGCACGCATTCCAAGTTGCGTCCGTTCGTGTGCCAGTCTTGCGGCGCCTCCTTCAAGTTCCGCTCCACGTACAGGTCCCACGTGGCCAGACACACCAACTCCGGGAACTTTGTGTGTTCCCAGTGTAATAAAGCATTCACGATGGCCTCCGAGCTGAAGGAACACTCTCGCATCCACGCCGTAGACCGACCCTTCTCGTGTACGCTGTGCGGCATGGCCTTCAAACAGAAGAAACGTCTGCGCGTGCACCACCGCGCCGTGCACCTGCGGGACAAACGCTACACCTGCATGGTGTGCGGCTCCTCCCACATCAACAACTGGAACTTACGCGCGCACATGAGGACGCACATACACGAGGACGCCCCTTACCCCAACGCGTGCGAGCACTGCGGCAGCACCTTCCGCGGCCGGGCGGGTCTGGCGGCCCACCTACGCCTACGACACGGCGAAGGCCAACAGGTCGTGGAGGTTGTGCCTCAAGAGGAGGAAGTCATAGAACACATCATTGACCCACAACAGGACATATTGGACACCAAGATGATCGAGGTGTTCTCCTGCACGACCTGCGGCCAACTGTGCGAATCACTCGACCACTTGACCTCGCACACACAACAGAACCACCAAGTGACCTACCCTGACCACCTCTGATACCAAACCCTGACCTCCTCTCATACCATACCCTGACCTCTCATACCATACCCTGACCTCCTCTCATACCATACCCTGACCTCTCATACCATACCCTGACCTCCTCTCATACCATACCCTGACCTCCTCTCATACCATACCCTGACCACCTCTCATACCATACCCTGACCACCTCTCATACCATACCCTGACCTCCTCTCATACCATACCCTGACCTCCTCTCATACCATACACCGACACTCACATAAACCAACGACCCGTGACCTGACACGTAACTATTCCACCTGTTAATTCATCCCTTTAACTGGTAAACCCATAACTAATACAGGATTTCAATACAGATTTTATGCTATATTTTACCATCAACGTTTCTGCATAAATCTGTCATCTGGTCAGATTTTAATACTCCAGCTATGAGAAAAATTAATAAAACTAAATCTGGGTAAAAAATCCTAAATGCAGATTTGTACAACGTAACCTATGAGCCAAAAAATAAAAATCTGTCTTGTAATTCTGTACAAATCCATTATACCAAGAATGAGGAAAATCTTACTTTGAAAATAATTTGTAAAGTCAGTAAAGGTAATAATTGTCTCTTATGTTGTTTAATATATAACTGATTATTGTTACTATAAATACAACTTGAGATTATGTATTTATTCTTTATCCTTCAGGTTAAGTTACGTTTGGTTAGGTTAGGTTAGGGTTTGGTTTGCTTAGCTTAGGTTGACCCAGGTTTATTGCCGGTTTATTACAGGTTTAAGGACTCCAGATGGGAGAAGTTTATGTGGAATTAACTAGTATTGACTGTTGCTAGTACGCATTATTGTTGTCTTTCATACACTCACTCAGTATGCACTCACCAGTCATACACTCATCCTAGCTACAGTCACTCGACATACACTTAACATACAGACACTTTACCAACTTGAGATGTGACCCCAATCCTTGCACATCTCTCTGTTACACATCTCTCTCCAGCACATATTATTAACACATCTCCAACACATACTATTAACAGACTAACATTCTTCCCCAGAGAGCGAGGAAGATCTCAACCAACCCCAGAGTAGCCCCAGACCCCTAGAGGGAGACGAAGGTCACCAACAAGCGGCGTCGTCTAGCCCCAAGTCGCAGAGTATCGGTCATCGCGGGCAGAATATCGGTTGCAAGTCGAGGACAGTCGGTCAAGGGTCAGGGTCGAGGAGCAGTTTTTCGTGCGACGAATGCGGGAAGGAATTCACCCAACGTCAGGCAGTTCGTTACCACAAGATCTGGAAACACAGCGGAGAGAGGCGCGGGCCGTGTCCTCACTGCCAGTACAAGGCGCCCGATGCCACTAAACTTAAGCTCCACATTAACAAAGTTCACCGTGGGTTTATGCCTTACAAGTGCAAGTTCTGCTCCAAACAGTTCAAGTGCCACTCCAACCACAAGGAACACGAGGCGAGACACCGGGGCGACGGGGACTTCGAGTGCGGCCTGTGCGGGATGAAGTTCGCCATCGGGTCGTCCCTGGAGCGCCACGCGCGTAACCACGGCGCGGACCGGCCGTTCTCCTGCGATCGCTGCGGCAAAACCTTCAAGGCCAAGACTCATTTGGAGAGGCACGTTAAATGTCTGCACCTACAGGAGAAGAAGGTGTCGTGTGAGGTGTGCGGTGCTGCTCACTTCAACAACTGGAACCTGAAGGTGCACATGAAGATGCATCAGGTATCAGCTCAAGACAATGGCCGCATCTGTAACATATGCAACTGTCTCTTTAGGAATAAGTCCGGCCTTATGGTACACATGCGTAAACAACACAACGCCACAGCCCTCCGTTCACCGCACAAACCCGACGCACAGACCGACGCGGCTCACACGGACACGGCTCACACCGGCACCAGACAAGACATGGCTCACACAGACACCAGACAAGACACAGACACCAGACAAGACCAACTGACCACAGACACCAGACAAGACCAACTGACCACAGACACCAGACAAGACCAACTGACCACAGACGGTACTTTAGAGTTAATGAACGAGGATCCATCTCTCACAGGAGACGACATAACACAACACACAACTATAGTCATACAAGATGGATCTTTACCACAGTTCAGTGATGGGTGTCAGCCAGAGCTCATCTATGACAACTTCTGTCAGTACACCTCCATGCATACCTTCGAGTTGTATCCTTGTGGCGAGTGTCTGGTGGTGTTCCAGTCTGAGGAAGATCTATTGATTCACCACCACACACACACACTATGAGGGGTGATTGTTGGTGGTCTAGACACACACACACATACACACACACACACACACTATGAGGGGTGACTGTTGGTGGTCTAGACACACATACACATCAACACCTCCCATCATCTGTCAGTCAATAAGATATATGAATTGTTATTATAATATTGATATACTCAGATTTTTATATATAGTAACAAATACAATATATCCTCCATATAATGAACTAATTAAAGCCGACCAATTCTGCTAAATTGGAGTCTCCGTTATTTTCGCTCGATTCAGTAAACTAATTTGCTAAATCGACCTCGATTTTGTTAAATCCCGTGCCAAAGGTGCCGCTCAGTGTGTGAGGTTTGCTTACATCCGCTCGGTGTGTGTCCTGCCGCCACCACTGGTGTTGTTCACTGCTACCTCCCAGTAACCTCTCAATCTATCACTTGGAAAAAAAAGTTTGGAAATAATTGAACAAACTATAACCAAACACCGGACCCCATAGTTTAAGGTAAGCCGTTAATAATGTTTCCATGTACGCATCACGTTTCTAAGGTGTGCGTATGTGTGAGCGTACTGTATGTGGCCTGTTGTCAATTCTCTTTGTATGGGCACACAAACGTACGTACATGTGGATATCTCACACTCAGGAATGAGGTAGGATAGAAATTCACAATGCGCTTTCTGTATATATATTGTTGTACAGCGCAGTGCTTAGGAGTGACTAGGTGAGGAGGTTTCTGAGTAGCTGTTGCTGGTCCAGTAGCCGAGTGTAGAATGGTCTCCCTGACATGAAATGCTAGTGACAGGGGGGAAGAATAAAGGGAGGATTGAAGTGAATTTTAGGAAGAGATAATAGGTGCAGTGGCTAAACACCGCTTGCGTGAGGGAGTATAAGTTGGAGGCAGCAGCAACTCGCCCGGACGCGGCAGGACAGAGTCAGGCAATAGAAGAAGTGTTTTGGAATTGTCCAAACTACAGACTCCAAATCTTAAATTCACTACATGACCAGACCTCTAATTTTACCCTAATTTCGACCGAACATTGAAAGACTACGGGTCAATATTTAGTATTGCAGTGGTCTCTTATGTCAAAGATGGAAGTTCATATATTTATTTATAGGTTTGATTTTGAAATGTCTTCTTTGGAATTTAGTATTTTACCACTTCTGGTGTTAGACATTACCAATGTAACGGGCCGAGTCTTCTCTTGTCATAATTTACCCTTCAGATATTCTTTTGTTATGATTCTTCAATTCTTTAGTTATAAGTATACTTTAGATTCTTATACAAGTAATTCTCTTGTCAGTTATGTATGTTCTTTATCTTAAACTTTCATGATATGTATATATGTATATATTTAATAATTTATATGCTGTATCATTAGTTCCACAATGTACATAAATGTCTTATGTTTCTTGTACTTTCCAAGTGTTTCATTCCGTTCATATATATTATATTCTCAGCTTCAATGTTCTTACCTTTCTGGAGTATACTGTTATATGTCTTTCTTATACATGGGTTAGTCTGGGGAACCATGTCACTCTTAGTACAACTCTTTTTATCCTTACACAGGGTAGCTGCCACCACCCAGACTTTTCATTATATAACATAACTCTTGGAAGGGTTTTGGGTAGTGTGGTAGATGTATAGGCATGTGAGTAAGTATTATTTTCTGGGAACCAATGTGTAGGAGGAGTAGAGTGGTGATACTCGTAGTTTACTAACTCAATATTTATTAACACAGTGGAGAAGATGCATCTTAGATTCACTCAGGCTAAACAGAACCACAATTAACTTATTAAGTCATCAAACACTTCAAGAACTTATTACCTCATTAACCACCTCCAAATACTTATTATACAACTCCAAGTACTTATACCATTTGACAACTATTATTTCTTTGACAAGTAAGATTTAGAAATGACTACACACTGTCAATAACACTGGACCCGCAGGTCTTACTTTAACAAGGAACAAATTACCTCCTCAATTCTTGGTTAGAACCTTATCCTCTCAGGTTATTCTTTCATGGTTACTACAGATGAATACATAACATACAATATTTCTTATCAGTTCACAAGGAACCATCTGGTACCTTGAACTCTCATTCAGGGGTTCAATACTTAACCCGGGATACTATATTTCTGGTAGTTATCCCTCCAAACATGGGCCCCATGCATTGCACCCAAGGAGGTTGACTCGTGGGAGAGTGGTGAGGGCGCTTCCTGGGGGAATCGTGTCCTGGGATTCTAAACGCGCCCCCTTAGAGACAGTCTTCAAGAACCATCTTGCCCATAGGTAGCTACCCACCCTCAGGAGAGTTGCTAACACACCCGCGTCTGGAGACGAAATCACAGAAGGAGTGAGTTTTCCTCGCGCCCAGGCATATTCCTACTAGAAAGACTAATTTTACTAACAATAGGCCCTCTATTCAAAGTAGTCAGTGGACACCTAGCTGTGACCGTCAGTGTCACAGATCAGGTTAATTTTCTACATCTATATTAATGATTTAATCAGAGATTGAGTTTGTCAGTAAAGAGGTGAAATTGAGTTATATATGCGTTCTCAACTCTATGGCCTGACCGCAAACACATCCCAGGTCAAACGGCCATTAAGTCTTGGAGAATTTTGAGTTTGACAGGAACTGTTCAGAAGATTAATGACTTTCTTAAATAGACAACTGACATTAACTAAACTATGAACATCAGATTCTCTGATGTCGGGGCAACAAACTAATATAACTTCAGTAGCCATCAGAGACTCATGGGTATCCCCACGGACGACCTAAAATACGTCACTCTAGCTGGCAAACTCAACACTTGGTTACTTGACAAGTCTTACTAACAATAAGGACAGTTGAAGTGTTCTACCCCACTCACAATGGATCTTGACTGTTCCAACTGTAAACAGACATATCTAAGTTGACTCAAGACAAGGGTGTTCTCTCTCACTCAAATTCATTATATAGAGACGTTGGTTTGAGTAAGTCAGAGGAAATGGGATAACGGAGGACTGAGGCGTCTTGAAGTGATGAGAAAACGGACTCCTCAGATGGATGACTCAAAATAAAAGCAGAGTTACATGTTTTATGGGCTATTGAGCGTAATATGAATCAATTGATTTTGGCGTTAACTGACGTGTAAGACCGTGGTCGTTACAACGGGTTAAGACTTTGGTAGGCCTTAGGCACCTCCAAGATATGGGGCCCCATTTGACATCATATTCACTAATAACACAAGCTAGTACCTAATTATAAAATGTGATGTCGAAAGAATAAGATTCAGTGATGTTTGCCATGAATTGAGTCAAAGAAAATGGGTTAGATCAGCTGTTGTTATACAGTACAGAAATATATTTGTTAACAAGAAGCACAGCTAGTTGGTGGACACTAATAGGATTAAGTAATAAATAAATGGGGAAAAAATACCTCAGTATCAATTTAATAATAACCTGTAGAAAAAGGGAAAGAAAAGTTCTCGTTATATTTTTCGTAGGCCCTAGGAGGAGGTGGTGTGTGGACTGCCTCTCTTGACTTACTCGTTTATGATCATTTTTCGTGTTGAATTTATTGATTTGATTTGATTTATTTGTTTTCGTCTTCGTTAAAAACTGCTACAAAGTAATTTAAATCTCGCATAGTAACGGTAATATATTAGTGATAAGATAATTATTGAATTGTTGTTTAAGTACCGTAAAGAGTCGTTCCAGTGCTTGTTTGATAGTTCGCTCGTTAGTTTATTTATTACTTCCAATAAAGGTCACCAAGGTTTTATTTTAGAGTAATAAGATAAATTAGAATATAATTGATATACGTCATTATTCTAACATCAACAACGATTTATACGATAGAGAATTAAAAATAAATAAATTTTGGCGATATGGCAACATGTATGGGGCAGCTGACAGCCACTATCTGACTCGCTGTTCGTCTCCGGGTCGTGATCAAGATGGACGTGTGGATTATTCCTTCATTTTTGACAATTTCCTTACAAACTTGATACTCTTTCGGTGTTATATACTGATATAAGTGGAAGTGTTCGGTGTTGTGAAGTGCTGGAGGACTCGTAACGTGAAGTGTTGTAGTGTTCGGTGTTGTGAAGTGCTGGACGTGAAGTGTTGTGTTAATATATGGGAAATATTGGTTAAAAGGTGAAGTGACCTGACGTGACTCAATGAGATTAGAGGATATTTGTCACTGATGCCAAGTGAAGTGTTATGGGCCCATAACTTGATTGGATTAATGGAAATAAATAGTGTTAACGGAGGTAGTGAACCTAATTGAAGGTTAAAGAAAAATTTACGCGTGGAATCCCCTTTTTCTAGTGAACATTAAAAGTACGACGAGGTACCGTAGTGAATTTTCCAAGTGTCCTTTTTGAAGTGAAGTCAATTAAAACATGTGGGAACTACAAGAGTATTCACCACAGTTAACTACACCAGGACTTGATTCACCCTCCGCCAGGACCTGATTCACCCTCCGCCAGGAATTTAAATTAAGGTATGATTAAAACTTTGGTTTGGTTAGGTATGGTTAGTGTTATGCCATCTATTACAATTGGCACACAGAGCTATTAAAATTGTTATGGGTTAATACGTCTGACTCGCCGCTACCCCTAGCAACATCATCAAATACAATATCATATCAGTACACTTTACATTGAGAAACATTAAGAAAATCTAACATTAAACCTTACCAACACACACAGTAGGTTTAGGTCTGGTTTTGTTGGGGTTTTGACTCGTGTATAACGAAAAACCGTCCCTGCCTATTAGGTTTATGGACATGAAGGTTATGAATGGATAATAATCACAATTTTACATTAGACAAATTTATGATTATCTAAGGACGATGAAACGGGCTGTGATTATGGAATTTTTCGTTGAATTACTATCCTTCCGGCAAACATTAAGAGTCTTTGAGATTTTATTGACCGCTACACCTATGGTTAACGAGTGAGTTTCTTTATAGAAAGTTGATATATTTAACTGAAGGGATGAAGGTCGCTACGGTGGCTGAGGTGTAACCACGGCTTGTTCAACAGAGCGAGTTTCTTCCTCATCCAACTAATTATTAGTTTGGTCTTAAAAACCGGTGTGTGTTGTTAAAGTAATGATTATAACTTACTACAGGGGCACACTTTGAACTCAGTTTTTGTCGATTATTTTTAGAATGTGACTTGAATGTAGCTGTAGTTTAACGGAGTGTTCAGGTGTTTGAGATGAGTAAAAAATGTTCTGGATTTACTGAGGTCACGATATGTAGTCTGTAGGCTGGTCGCTTCGGGGTGGTAAAAGTCTCAGGAAAGCTTTGATATTATCGGAAAACGAATCACGGAGAACAGGTAAATTTTGATATGTATCACTTAGTGTTTTATTTAATTTTAAAATCAAACTTTAACCATTAATGATTTGTGTCAGGTTGTTGGAGAGACGAGGGCACTGGGGCCACCAAGTACTTGTTCTTTATTCTCAGCCTCAATACCAAACCCTCAGATACAAGTAACCTAAACAAGATCCATGAACAGTCCCGTAGAGTAATTATATAAACGTATTCTTCAATTAATTTTCTTATTTTTTAATGTCAGTTTTTTCTGTTATGTTCTTAAGATGTCTGCGTATTTGTGACTGAATTTATTGACGATGAATTGAAACATATTCGTTCCATTGCACAGA